TCTGAATGGAGCTATCATGTGAGATGGCCACCTTACCGAGGCCAACCACCTTACCCTTTGAGTTGTCACCGAAAGTGACATACTTTCGAGGACCATCATTTTCAGCAAGCTCATGAAACATGTCTTTATCTCCGGTCATGTGATCGGTACATCCACTGTCAAGGACCCATTCCTTTCTCCTGCCATATATCCCCGAAGATTTGCCATAAGACCAAAGTGTCTCATCGCATCATCAAGATCAAAGCCATCATCCTCATCCTCATCATAGTATCCATGTTCAACATCGTCATGTGGTGGATCAATTCCTAGTGAGAGTGATTCATTAGTATGAGTTTGACAATAATCTCCTCTATGAATTCTAGTAGCTTCGGAAATAATATCGCTAATAATTCCAACATTTCCTTTGGCATGCATAAGATTTGTAAGTTCAAATAGATAGTTGCCAAACATAGGATCATTGGAATTCATCTTACTCAATGCAATAGACTTATGAAGAATTTCATCCAGATTTTTCAAGGAATAATTAGGAAATCGTTCCTCAAGAAATTTCCATATAGTGTAGGCACACTCAGGAGTAAGCAGATTTCTAATCAAGTTTCTAGGCAAGCCTTTGGTGATAAGATTAACAGTTCTAACATTTCTAATCATGTCAATCGACTCATCAGGGGTAGGATGCATAGGATCAACATAAGGTGCACAAGGACTAGCAATGTACTTGTTCAAATGATATTGATTGAAAATCACAAGCATCTCATTTTTCCACTCATGAAAATACTCTCCATCAAGTATAGGCACTCTATGTCTAAGACTCCCCAAAGTAGACTCATCCATCTTCCTCCAATGGTGATTAAACCAAAGCCATGGAGACCAAGGATCTGATACCACTTGTAGGACCTTGAGAAGAAGTGTAAGTAAGTCTAGAGGGGGTGATTAGACTACTTGATCAAATAAAAATTAAGCCTTTTCCCAATTTTAGTTTTTGACAGATTTTAGCAATCTTAGCACAAGTCAAGCAATCTCTACACAATTCAAGTAAGCATGCAAAGAGTATATGAGCAGCGGAAATTAAAGCATGCAACTTGCAAGAATGTAAAGGGAAGGGTTTGGAGATTTCAAACGCAATTGTAGACACGGATGTTTTTGTCGTAGTTCCGATAGGTGGTGCTATCATACATCCACGTTGATGGAGACTTCAAATCCACGAAGGGTAACGGTTGCGCGAGTCCACGGAGGGCTCCACCCAAGAAGGGTCCACGAAGAAGCAACCTTGTCTATCCCACCATGGTCGTCGCCCACAAAGGACTTGCCTCACTAGCGGTAGATCTTCACGAAGTAGGCGATCTCCTTGCCCTTACAAACTCCTTGGTTCAACTCCACAATCTTGTCGGAGGCTCCCAAGTGACACTTAGCCAATCTAGGAGACACCACTCTCCAAGAAGTAACAAATGGTGCGTTGATGATGAACTCCTTGCTCTTGTGCTTCAAATGATAGTCTCCCCAACACTCAACTCTCTCTCATGGGATTTGGATCTGGTGGAAAGAAGATTTGAGTGGAAAGCAACTTGGGGAAGGCTAGAGATCAAGATTCATATGGTAGGAATGTAATATCTTGGCCTCAACACATGAGTAGGTAGTTCTCTCACAGAAATGGTAAGTTGGAAGTGTAGGTTTGTTCTGATGGCTCTCTCCACGAATGAAGAGGAGGTGGAGGGGTATATATAGCCTCCACACAAAATCTAACCGTTACACACAATTTACCAATCTCGGTGGGACTGAATCAACAAACTCGGTCAGACCGATTCAGTAAACAACGTGACCGTTAGGAATTTCGGTGGGACCAAAATGCAACTCGGTGGGACCGATATGGTTAGGGATAGGGCATAACGTAATCTCGGTGAGACCGATTACACAAACTCGGTGAGACCGAATTGGGTAATTAGCTAACCAGAGAGTTGGTCAGGCAAACTCGGTGGGACCGATTACTCAAACTCGGTGGGACCGATTTTGGTAATAAGTTAACCAGAGAGTTTGCATTGTAATCTCGGTAGTACCGATTGCTCAAACTCGGTAAGACCGATTTTGATAATGGACATACACAGAGAGATTACAATCCCATCTCGGTGAGACCGATATCCCTACCGGTGAGACCGATTTGCCTAGGGTTTGTGGCAGTGGCTATGACATCTGAACTCGGTGGCGCCGGATAGAAATAATCGGTGGGGCCGAGTCAGACTTTTGGTTTAGGTCATATGTGGATGTGGGAAAGTTGTTGAGGGTTTTTGGAGCATATCACTAAGCATTGTGGAGCAAGAAACTCATTAAGCAACACCTCATCCCTTCTTGATAGTATTGACTTTTCCTATAGACTCAATGTGATCTTGGATCACTAAAACATAAAATGCAGAGTCTTGATCTTGAAGCTTGAGCCAATCCTTTGTCCTTAGCATCTTGAAGGGGTTTCCACATCCTTTAGTCCGTGCCACTCCATTGTTGGACTTGTCTGAAATATACTAGATAAAAGTGTTAGTCCAACAAGAGATATGTTGACATTAATTACCAAAACCACCTAGGGAGCACTTGTGCTTTCACAAGGAAGTGGTGATCCCGGCCCTCCCCTCATATGTTTATGTCGTTTTTAGTTGTATAAGTTTAAAAACTTGCCCACTGACGAACTAAGATGATCTATTGGGTGTCGCAAAGTTTGTTAATGTCCATTTGCATCCGATCTTGTGTTCGTTTGCAGCCCATTTTTATTATCCGTTGTTTGATCACGTAGAGTAGCTCAACGTTGCATGCGTAGTATGGATATGAGGCGCCGGATATGAGATACGCCGATGCAGAGTGAAAAATATGAGGCGTGCCTAGTCAGTGCCCGTGGATAGGATCGGGCGCGTCCGCGGGCGTTTGAGGGGCCGGATTTGCCCACCACGGTTGTAGATGCTCTTACCAATTTTTTGAATATCTCATTGATCTCCAAAATGCTTATGTTATGGTTTATAAACTTTAGTGGTCTTTGATATTTTTATTTTTTTGCGAACACGCAAAAGCTTTCCGCGTCGATGTATTAGAAGAAGAGAACTAGAAGCACAGAGAGTCCGGCGGCTTGCCGCGGTTACAACCATCCCCACGGCAACATATGGTGGGCAGTCATTAACTCCATATAGCACCCAACAACGCCCTACGTGCTAGAAGGTCCTATCTCCAGATGTCCGACAACCCCCTCGCACCAGAAAGCTTCCATAGCTCAACCTCATTACTGATGCAACGACAAAGCTCTCGAGCAACGACCGTTGACCGCTGGAAGACGCGACCGTTACGCTCCATCCATAGCATCCAGATGATGAGGAGGGAAAGAGAATCAAAACCCTTCCTCCTCTCCTTCGGGATCATCGCGCGATTGGCTGCCCACCACTCCGTGAGAGTTGCATCCATGGCGGGCACCAACTGACCGAGGCCATAACGCCAGAGGGCAGAGTGCCACACCTCCCTGGCAAACACACAACCCAGTGCCACGTGGTCTGCAGTCTCGGCCTCCTGCTCGCATAACGGGCACATGACATGGGACTGCAGGGCGTGCCGAAGGCGTTTGTCCGCCATCCAAATCGGACACCTCATAGGTAGCCAAAAGCGAAGCTTGCACTTGGCCGGAGCCCAAGACTTCCAAGGGGCCCGATCACACGGGAACCTCTCGAGGCCATCAAAGAACACCTGGTAAGCTGAGGTCAAAGAATATACCTCAGTCGACGTCCACTTCCAAATTATGCGATCCAACAAAGAACACCTAGTAAGCTAATGGTCTTTGAATTCAAGCGAGGTTGAAACAAATGCGTTATGTTTGGCAAACTTTGATCCAAATTCGGCCAAATGCAAACTATGATTTAAGCTCTTTAAATGGAATTCAAAATGACCTTCAGTGATCATTCCCTCACGACCTACAACTTCACAAGCAACAAGCATGTCGTATAGGCCAAGGTTGTGAGAATGTTCCATTAAATGTCACATTTGGGCGGCCTATATTGGAGCGGAGTTGAATGTTTGGAATGATTTAATTCAACATATTTTGAGGAAGATGCATTTTAGTGGAACATACATTCAAACATGTATGATGCTCCTTGTGTGGTTGTTCTTATTTAACTGTTTTTTCCGAATACTTCTTTAACCGTTCAACACCATTGGCGAATGTGATCATTGCATTGGCCAAGATGGGGACTAGCCCCACATCAAAAGGCTGACGGGGATCTTCAAGAGGGGACCGGTGGCAAGGCACGCCGGCAAGCTGGATGGCATCTCAAGAAGGAGTTTTTCTACATGTGCCTTCTCCCTTACACAGATTAGGTCACATTATTTGAAAGAGTGGTGTTATTTTTCATCTTATTTATCCTTTTATGTATTCGGTGGATGCTAATCTCAACGGGAATGTTTGATCCCACTCAATGTTAATGGAAACAAGACATTCCAAGATGCGCGCAACTTTTCATCCCGCATCATCTTTGTTTTCGACCAACTTCGGTCACCAGACCACCGCGGTCTGGCACTAGACACCACCGCAGACTCGTTCCCGCTTTCCACGCACCTCACCGCCGCTTGTAGCACGCACATCGCCATCTTGCCTGACACCCTTCATTGTTGTGCCAAGGGAGTTCACCGTCGACTTGCCTTCAACTCCGTTCACCGTCTCCTTTTCTCGCCGATGAGGCCAAGAGGTATTTATGTTTTTGGCTCAATTACATTCCTACCTTTTCTTGCTAAAATTCTCCTCAAGTTTCAACAAAGCTCATTGATTTTTGACCAAAAAAAAGAAAAAGAAACAACACAACGCATAATGCATCGATTCGACCCTACGACCATTCGCTATTAGCTCTTTCCCCATCACTAGGACCATCGGCGGCGCGATTTCAAACCAAATCCCTCCTCCTGAAACCTTTTCAGCAATCGTCACTCGCGAATCCCTCGCCGCCAGAACCCTAGGAAGCTTCTAGAACCCCTGCGAGGCCAGCGAGATGCTACTCCGGACTCCACCGCAGCGGAAGCGGCGGGCCGTCTCCGACGCCGACCCCGACGCCAACCTCGACCTCGACCTCGCCGTCGCCGTCGCCGTCGCCACCGGACGGACCCCCGTCTCCGACCGCCGCCTCGTGCCCTACGACTGCCCCACGGCCCTCGTGTCCGCCTCCGGCGGCGAGGAGCCCTCCGACGACATGGTCTGCACATACCACTGCCGTCAGATGGTGAGACCGCGTCGTCCCTGTGTAAGCATACGAGTTATGCAATTTGTGTTACTTGACCTGCTGTCACTTAGTGCCATGTATTACCAAGTTTGTTATAGTTAACGTTATATTTGGTCACGCACGCTACATTGATAAGCTCTCAGTTGATTATATTTTAAGGATCTGCAGCGAAGTACACGCTGTGAAATGGAGATCCCTAGTGTGATTAGTTATATGCCATTTTGTATACATACTGATGTTTTTTACATGTGTACATTTCTGATAGGTGAAATCGGAGTTTGTGGTGGCACTGGACACCGCGGAGAAGGCGGTTCAGGAGTATCGAGTAAAGCTTGACACATTGGAGAAACAGTTATCCAAGAGTGGTATGCTTTTGTTTACATGATTTTATTCTGAGCTTTTTATGAATACAGTTCATTAAGCTGTTAGGGAATTATATCTGTCGTGGAAGCAGGGAATAAGTATTTGAAATATGCATGGACGTGGAGGCCAAATAATATACTATACTCCAAGTTACAGTATATCATAGTAATAAGTTAACATTTGTTGGGAATAGGAACTCCATTCTAGGAAGAACATGTAGGTTCTGCTTAATGCTTGAAGCTATCTGAGGCTAGAATTTGGATGTTAGCATTATCCTGTTGCAAGCCATTTGATGCATTTACTTACAAACTGATAAACTTACTTGTTCTTAATACTTCAGAGGATGAAAGGACTACATATCATGATAAACTGAACTATGTTGAACAAGAACTAGCAGCAACAAAAGGGCGGGAGACTGCATTGCAAGAACGGTTATTGAAGGAGCTGGGCGAGTATCAGGAGCGATACAGGCAGCAAGTCAAGAAGATAGGGGAACTTGAGGTATAATTTTTTTCCCCTTTGGCACATGAATTCCATCTCATCGCCGTTGTGACAAGCTAGTCACACAGTCACATTTTTGTGTGCCTTATCCATGTTTATTAATTGACATAACTAATCATAGGCTTGCTGGTGCTGCAGGTTAAACTCAATAAAGAGATTGATTCTCGAATTAGCGCTGAATCATCTTCAGCATCTGCAAAGGAGTCGGTCAAGGAGTTGGAACGGGCTATGCAGCGGTCATCAGAAAATTCAGAAAGGGAGAAGAAAGCCCTTCAGAAGGAACTTTCATATATGCAAGATGACTCAAAACTATCCATCTCTAAACTTAATGCTGAGGTTTGTATTGTTAAATTCTTGTGAACATTGATTCTTCACTGCATGTTGGCTTATCTATCTGAACATGCCTGGGCGTAGCTTGAAAGAATGAGCCTCAGGGCGCAAAACTCTGAGAAGGAAGCAAAGATGTTAAATGAGCAGTTGGAGGACTTGAAAAAGCAATTAAATGAGGTAAAGTAATGTGATTCACATGATCATCGCTGATCAATATGTCCCACTCCTTTTTTCCTGCCGTGAGAGCCCTCATCAGATGCTCAAACTTGTGCTCATTGGTTTTGGTTTTACATCTTGGTACAGCAGATACAATGATTAACATTATGTTCTTTGTCAGTGTCTTCGCGAAAAGAACGAAACCGAGCTCAGACTACTGGATTCTGCTCCTTTGTCTGTTCAGCGTAATCCAACAGATGATCAGAAGTTAATAAAACTTTTGCAAGAGGAGCTCCGGAACTATGTGAGCATTTAGCCTTGACGATGATAGCTGATGACTGATGTTATGTGAATATTTGGTGGCATGCTTGTTTCATTTACTCCTTGATAAGGAAAGCCAATTTTATGACTGTCAGAATTATGTAAACATCAGTGTTGCACATTGCTGTAAGCTTACAACATGCTTAGCATTAAGCACTGATCTAGGAGAGCGTTTTGCTGCCCTATGTGTGGCTCTCTCAACTGCCATAGAGATAAAAAAGTTGAAGCTATGTAGGAAGCTCTAATCTTAAAACAAGTGTGTTTGAATGAATGAATGGCTTCTTTTATGGGTGGCTGTACACCCTAAAGCATTTTGGTAGTGCATTTTGTACCCTTCAATTTTAGACATCTGAGTTTTTTTTTTCCTGTTATTATACAGCTTTTCAATAATAACCTGCCATAAAATTCTAGAATAATAAAGTGCTGTATCTATATGATTTCTGTATATCCAGGAAAAAGAAGTGCATGAAGCTAGAAGATTAAAATCTTCCCACACAAATGTTGAGCTGCTAAGTGAAAAGCTGTTGGAGGAGCAGAGTCGAAGGAAACGAGCCGAAACAGAATTATCTAAGCTGCAAGAAATCGAAGCTAAAGCACAGAAGTTGGAGCTGGAATTAGCATCATGTACATCATTACTTGGCAACATACCTGATGTGTCTTCTTACAGCAGCATTGCAGATTTGCAAAGGTATGAGTCCATCATCACTTTACCAAAGAAAAATTCTGCTATAACTCATCGTTATTAAACATTATTCAGAGTACTATCCTTTCCTATGATCATAAACAAAGCTGCGCAACTAGTAGATTTGATAAATTCAGGATGACTTTTGCTTGAAAGTTGTGAGAAAGAATGATATTGTTGGCAAGGACGTGTAACTTTTTACTCCTTCCCCATTAAGATTTATATTGTTATTTGAACTGTTGACAGGCAAGCATTGACAGACTTGAATAAATTGGGTGAAGTAACATCACGGTTGAAAGAATTGGAGGTTACGTTGGAATTTGCTGAGATCAGCAAGCAACGTGCAGAAGGTGAAGCTACCCTTGCCAAAGAGAGAGCTGAAAGTGCTAGCAGGGAGGTCAAGCGGCTTGAACTTCTGGTATTGTCTGCTGTCCCCTGCTACAACTGCATCCTAGGTTTCCATTTTTTCCATGTTTGCAATGTATACCATAAATACACTTGTAGTCCCATGCTCCCATTGAACTTATGCTGTGTAAGCTATCTTATTAAGAGATACTCCCTCCTTTCCGCTTTATAGGTCCTGCACATATCTCTAGGTTGTCAATTTTACTACTGTAATGTGAGTTGTATTTGTATATCACAAAAGTTATACCATTTGAACTTTATGATGGTATATATTTTATAATAGATAAATCATATTATATTGGTTAAATTATCGATCTAGGGATACGCATAGGCATTACAAACTGGAAATAGGTAGTACTTGCAGTTATGAATCTTCTATAATTATACATTCTGTATTACATTGAGTGATCATCCATTTATATGTCAATAATTCACATTGGCATGTTTTACTTTCCCTTTATGACTTATTTCATTTGAACAGCTTACTGCAGTGAGTGAAGAAAGAGATAGATTACGAAAAGATCATAATATGTTATCTAACCAAAAAACTAGGGATGGAGATGACATGTCATCCAAGGTTAGCAGGTTTTGTATTCTTAACATTGGTGGTATGTGCCGTTACAACTTTCTTAATTTATAATGCCTCTTCTGGGAAACAATGCAGAAAATGGAGTCAGATCTATCTCATATGGAAAAGGTAGTAAGAGAACTAGAGACCACTCTACACGAGCAGAGAGAACTAATTAGTCAACAACATGCGGAGCTCAATCTAATGAATGAGAAATTGAGCATTGAAGCAAGAAAAGCAAAATCATTGGAGCGAGAGGGAGATCAACTGCGCTCTCAGGTGGCATTACTCGAGTCTAAGGTATGGACTAAGGATCAATGTTTAATAGCCAGTGGCCAATCTAGCTTCTCTCGTTAGCAGGCCTGAGCTACTCTGGCTGCGGGAGCTTGATCATATGCTGCCTGCAAATAAAACACCAGTGTAGAATTGTTATCTAATTTTGAATTTCAATGAGGCAGCGGTGAATGTTATGCTGAATGACTGTTGTGTTCATATGTGTTATAGTTTGTTATAGTACGGTGCTGTGCCGCCGAAGTTTTAACTAGGCATGTCATCTTCCTTCAACAACAGAGCTAGTTGTGGGTGCAACTATGAATTACGCTATGAAGTGTACTAATTTAACCTATAGTTATTTGCTTTGTGTATTATGTGTCAACGCCATGAAAATTCTTGTCATATTTGACAGCTGGGTCATGGGGATTACTCTGCCTCAAGCACAAAAGTACTTCGTATGGTGAACACTCTTGCAATGGATAGTGAAGCAAAGCAGACAATAGAAGCACTGCAAGCTGAGTTAAAGAAAACAAAAGAGAGGCTGCAGGCAATCGAAGAACTAAAAGGGCAAGCTGGTAAGTGATCTTATGAATTCTTTTTACTACTACGATCTCCACATGTTGTTTGAGTGTTTGATTTTATCGTTTGCTTACCAATTTTTCAATTCAAAATTTCATGTGAGAATAATATCCACTGAGTAGCATGCAATAGTTAGTTTCGGTTTTTTCCTTAGTAAATTTGTCATTGTACAATTTCTGATAGCTTGCTCTTTGGTGTAGTTGCATTTCTATCAAAAATAGACATCCGCATTTTCTGCCGAATAACTTGTTTGTCAATATATCATGTGCTCCGTATGTTCAAGCTCTGAGAGACCTTGTCTGGTTTTGCTTTGAATGCATTTATGCTGGAATATTTATTTTATTTGCAGATGCTGGAACTGTAGTAGATGCAAATGTTGCTGAAAAGCTAGCACAGCTTAAAAATCAAGTTGCCACACTAGAGAAACGTGAAGAAAGGTAGTCTAGTTTATTAATTTATATCTGTATAAGCTTCTGTATACTGATTTGTTGGAGAGGACCTTACACCTGCCTCGAAACAGATACAAGGCAGTGTTTCTGGAGAGGATCTCAGTCTTCCGAAAGGCTTGCTGCTCGCTTTTTGGTTATCAGGTGTGATGCGTTCAACTCTATTAATTTTTCTGTTAGCTGTCTGAAAAAAAGTCCAGCTGGCATCCCCCAATTATCTGGAGAGTAACTTCCACCCCTAATTTCAAAGCGGTTTAAAAATTATATGCCAAATTTGTCAACGTGGCTGCAGGTCCCATATGCCAGTTAGGCAGCTTCCTGATCCTGCAATCTCTTGCATCATGGGTACAGGACGAGCATTCAGTTCTGATTTATCTCCTCATCTGTCCATACATCTGATTCATGTCAATACCAATTGGTAAAACGGAAAATCCATTGCAACCTAAAATCCAAAAAACTTCACATCAGGAGCCGTTTGGAAGTGTCAGTTCATGCCATGTGCAAGGGGCTGAGGCAGTGGAGTCCAGAGGAGCTCCAGCAAGCCAAGCTTGGTTTTGCTTGGGCGTCTGTCAGAGCTGTTACACCGGGAGGGGATCTTGGTGAGATAGCAGCCCAGGGTTGACTGGCTGAAGGCTGGTGATAGAAACACAGCCATGTTAGCAAGGAGGTGGAAAAGAACTTTGTATTGGGAAAGAAGTGCTTTGATGAACGAAGAGGAGTTGGATACAGCAGTGGATGTTTGGTGGGTTTAGAAATGTTAGGGGAAGGTGTCGGATTGATGGGTTCAGTTATTTTGCACATTTTGAATTATCAAGCCATGTAATCTCATATGCCAACTACGCGATTATACCACAATTCTCATTATTTTCCGGCTTCAACATTTCGTCCAATTTTATCTCGTTACTTGGTTCTAAGTTCTAACTATTCTCAGCTGTTAAACACCATTTTTCTTATTTTGTGTTTTTAGATAGTGATGAATGATGAGCAGCAGCCAAATGGGATTCATGTAACACGATTTACTCTGCAATCAGTATATGCCCAAACCGATGATGAAAAACTCGAGTTTCTCTATGAATCAGGAAGCACCAATATAGTGGTAGGTTTATTACATTGTTGAAATGTTCTTTTGTATAGTTTAACGGAACATTTATTTGATCTCAAATACAGGTCAATGGCTACACTTCTCAACATGAGATTGCTCAGCAGGTATTCAACTTATCCATTACACTGAAGCGTTTCCTTTTCTGGAATGTTGTACAAATAACCTGCAGTGCTGTTACAGTTTATAAGAGTGTGTAAGAGGCTTAACAGATTTAGTCCAGTTGGTGTATTAGATCTTGAGCATTCTTAAATTGCGCACCAAAGTATGGTGTGTGATACAAATTACTGTGTAATAAACTAATCTAGGTATTAGATAGAAAATATCCAGTCATACAGTTACGGGTACGGTGAAGTTAAAACTCCTGCAAGTATAATTAAGTAAAGGAAAGCCTCGAATTGTTTTTAGCTTGGTATTGAACCAGAGTTTGATTTACTGATTTTGATGATCTAACCATACTTTTCAGGTTGATATTTTCATAAGAAAGATGAATTCCATCCCAGCCTTCACTGCTAACCTGACAATGGAATCCTTCAACAAGAGAAGTATATGTTGAGGACAAAAATGAGTGAGAAATCATATTCCTATATTATATTTGTAGGTATGCTTCCATCTAAAAATTGTTTGTAGGTATGATGCTTTTATTTGTAGATGGAAAAGAATATCCCCTTGCAGAGACTAAAGGCTTGTGTATTATCTTTCCGTTCTCGCAGCATACCGGTCAAAATTGCAATGTATTGGCGGTTAGCAGAAGTGTGCTTAGGAAACGTATCGGATCCATCTTTTTTGCGGGAGGGACTACTTGCAGTCGTATGTTGAAGGAGTCATTCAAATTCCAGCATATGAAGAAGTTGAGTGGAAGGCTGGTGCTGACGGTATGGTACTATCAGATGGATGCCATTTTAGTTTGAACAATGTAAATACGAGCGCATACAATGTGATCCCTGTGAGTTTTGTGAACTAGCAACTTGATAATATCACATCTTTTGTGTGGGGAAAAAGCATCAAATCGTACCGTGCAGTTTTTTTTTTCCTATGACAACACACCGCAGTCAGTTACTTCAGTGAATCGCTATCCATTGAGCTAGTTTTATCCGTGGCGTGCTACGATCATCCACGGGTGCTTATGCGTGTTGGAGCAGCCCTTGTAACTCTTTGCTCTATTGAAAGCATGGTTATTATCCTTTCAATAAAAAAAAGCATGGTTATCCTCACGTGAAACGTACTGCGACTCAGCCGTGCCTATCACCATAAGCCGGCAGCCGTAACGTAAACCCGTGCTTCCTGGCCAAGAACTCCACAGTCAAGGCACAGTTCGAAATGCAGCATAGGCGTGGCGTTCTTACCGCGAACTGGGTGAGCCAGCCGGCGTGGTTCTCACACTGTCGGCATGAGGCGCGTCACGCAAACTGAACCCCCTCGCGGTGCATCCGCAGGTGCCCGGGGCCAGGGATGGGCAGATAACCGGCGCTTTTCATAACGCGAGACTGCACACAAATAAATCACCTCGTTCAACGGGTGCCCAACCCAAGCCACTCGTTTCCATCCTTCTGGAGTTTCGAGTAGCCAGCCTGCTAGCTGCTTCTGGCGCAATGATGGTGCGTGCCCGGCCGTGCGATCGATCCTATCCTAGCTAGTTGCTGAACTAATGCTGCTTCCTTGTGGCCAAACTGATCATTTGCGGGCGTGAAATTTTGATGATGATGCAGGCGCAGCCGCAGCTGGAGAAGAAGGCGCCCCCGCGGGCGAAGCCGCCGCTGACGGGGAAGGCCGTGGCCGCGCTCTGCGTGGCCAGCTTCGCCGTCGGCCTGCTGCTCAGCGGCTGGGTGCCGCTCCTGTCGGCGCCGATCGGCAAGGTGAACAAGACCTCTGCTCCCTCCGGCTGCGACGACAACCGCGTAAGCAAGGAGTTAGCCGGGGAGAGGCATGACCCCATGGGCATCATGAGCGAGGTGTCCAGGACGCACCACGCAATTCAGTAAGCCTACGCGCCGTCCACCATGCATGTAGACATGTAGTACGTGTGCATTAATTGCACGTTTCTGACGAATCCACACTTCCCCAGGTCGCTGGACAAGGCGGTGTCTTCCCTGGAGATGGAGCTGGCCGTGGAGCGCGCCCGGAGCGGCGACGCCGGCGCCGGCGCGGCGGGCTCGTCCAAGGCCCTTCAGAAGGCCTTCGTGGTGATCGGCATCAACACGGCCTTCAGCAGCAAGAAGCGCCGCGACTCCCTCCGCGAGACCTGGGTGCCCTCAGGTAACATGCATGTCATGCACTTGGGACTTGGCCTTGGCACTTGGCACTGGCGCAATGCAGCAACGAATTATATCATGTCTAATTTGTTGTTCATGGTCGCGCGGGTGTAGGGGAGAAGCTGAGGCGGCTGGAGAAGGAGAAGGGGATCGTGGTCCGGTTCGTGATCGGGCGGAGCGGGGCGGCGGAGGGCGGCGGCGGGGCGGCGGACCGCGCCCTGGACGCGGAGGAGGCGGAGAACAAGGACTTCCTGCGGCTGGACCACGTGGAGGGCTACCACGAGCTGTCCTCCAAGACGAGGATCTACTTCGCCACCGCCGTCGCCACCTGGGACGCCGACTTCTACGTCAAGGTCGACGACGACGTCCACCTCAACCTCGGTACGTCCTACGCACACGTGCAGCTTTGCGTTCCTCATTATCGAGTTGAGCATTTCTGCAATTTTTTTGACCGTTTCTGCTCTTTAATCTGGCAGGGATGCTGGCAACTAGGCTGGCCAAGTACAGGGCGCGGCCCAGGGTGTACGTCGGCTGCATGAAGTCTGGGCCTGTCCTGTCTCAAAGGTGGCACCCGAGCCAAAATCATGCACCAAACAAAACTCGGGGCCGATCTGAAATTTGCTGCTGATTTTCTGTCCATCTTGTTCTTGTGGGTCGCAGAGGGGTGAAGTACCACGAGCCGGAGTACTGGAAGTTCGGGGACGTGGGGAACAAGTACTTCCGGCACGCCACCGGCCAGATCTACGCCGTCTCCAAGGACCTCGCCGCCTACATCTCCGTCAACCAGTAAGCTTTTTTTTTTCTTTGGAAGGCAATCTGAATGTGCGAGACATTCTGACGATGTTTGCATCTGCGACGGACTATTTTCAGGCCGATCCTGCACAGGTTCGCGAACGAGGACGTCTCCGTCGGCGCGTGGCTGATCGGGCTGGAGGTGGAGCACGTCGACGACCGGAGCATGTGCTGCGCCACGCCACCAGGTCCGTACGCCGAGCCACGAACATACTCCTATCGTTCTCTCTTCGCCCATACTACGAGCTTGTCTGACCAGAGCAACAGCCGTGCGTTTCGCAGACTGCGAGTGGAAGAAGCGGGCCGGGAACGTGTGCGTGGCGTCCTTCGACTGGTCCTGCAGCGGGGTCTGCAGGTCTGTGGACAGGATGAAGCTCATCCACGACGCCTGCGGCGAAGACCAGGCGGCGGTCTGGGGCGTCGCCGCCTGATCTGGAGTAGTGGTGGGAGTAGCGCATGGCCGGCCGGGCGTGCTGTTTAATGTAGCTAGAACTTGATTTGGAATCCGATCACTTGGTCCAATGCTATTTTTTAAAGAGAAGGATAACTCGGGTTCCGCATCAAGCGATGCACATAATGATTCTAAAAGTATTATTCTCCATATCCTATAAAATAAATACAAAGATTCACTCAAAATCACCTTCCTGGCAACCACAGTCACTACACTAACACTTACACGCTTTATGATGTGCCATGATCTCGTATGAAAAACATGTCATCTAATCCGTTGGCCTCACTAAGCCGGCTGGTGGCAAACCGAGAGCACCAACCGGTCTAACAAACCCTCCGCGTGAAAGACACTCTAGAATCAGCTGCCGCCATCTTCCACTGTCCCACCTTCAGGAGCGATCAACGCATTCACCTTACCAGGCCATTCTGTCGTCGACACCACCACAACGTCAGACAGCGCCACCACCTGTGATCGTCCATCAATACGCCTTCGTCGCTGAGGCTCCGCCACGCCATGCCGCCGAGACCCATCGTTGCTCTTGCAATAGATGCAACACCGCTCCTCCTCTTGTCCCCTCTAGCCAGCACCTACTCCAAGACGATGCCCCCAAGAGGGAGAACTGCCCCGAAGGCCCCAAGAGGGAGAACTGCCCCGAAGGCCCCATCATCGTCCGATCAGGGAGACCCAGATCTAGGGTTTCCCCTGGAGCAGCCGGAACCAGGTGACGACAAATGTAAATGACGATGCCTTCAACAAGGAAACACGCCCAAGACGCCGTCGTTGAAGGAAATATGCCCTAGAGGCAATAATAAAGTTGTTTATTTTATATTTCCTTATATCATGATAAATGTTTATTATTCATGCCAGAATTGTATTAACCGGAAACTTGATACATGTGTGAATACATAGACAAAACACCATGTCCATAGTAAGCCTCTACTAGACTAGCTCGTTAACCAAAGATGGTTAAGTTTCCTAACCATAGACATTTGTTGTCATTTGATGAATGTGATCACATCATTAGGAGAATGATGTGATGGACAAGACCCATCTGTTAACTTAGCATGTTGATCGTTAAGTTTTATTGCTATTGCTTTCTTCATGTCAAATACATATTCGTTCGACTATGAGATTATCCAACTCCCGGATACCAGAGGAATACCTTGTGTGTTATCAAACGTCACAATGTAACTGGGTGATTATAAAGATTCTCTACAGGTATCTCCAAAGGTGTTTGTTGGGTTGGCATAGATCGAGATTAGGATTTGTCACTCCGAGTATCAGAGAGGTATCTCTGGGCCCTCTCGGTAATGCACATCATAATAAGCCTTGCAAGTAATGTGACTAATGAGTTAGTTACGGGATGATGTATTACGGAACGAGTAAAGAGACTTGCCGGTAATGAGATTGAACTAGGTATGAAGATACCGACGATCGAATCTCGGGCAAGTAACATACCGATAACAAAGGGAATAACGTATGTTGTCATTACGGTACGACCGATAAAGATTTTCGTAGAATATGTGGGAACCAATATGAGCATCCAGGTTCCACTGTTGGTTATTGACCGGAGAGGTGTCTTAGTCATGTCTACATAGTTCTCGAACCCATAGGGTCCGCACGCTTAACGCTCGATGACAATTTTGTATTATATGAGTTATGTGATTTGGTGACGGAATGTTGTTCGGAGTCCCGGATGAGATCACAGACATGACGAGAAGTCTCGAAGTGGTCGAGAGGTAAAGAATGATATATAGGATGATGGTATTCTGACACCAGAAGTGTTCCGGGGGTACCGGGTACATATCGGGTCACCGGAAGAGGTTCCGGGCATCCCCCCGACAATTACATGGGCCTAATGGGCCAAGAAGGGGACAGACTAGCCCCTAAGGGGATGGTGTGCCCCATGTAGGCCGAAATAGGAGGGGAAGGAAAGAGGAGAAGAGAGAAAGGAAGGGGAGGGATTCAGCCTCCCCCTTCCTTTCCTCCTCCCTCCTCCTTCTATCGTGGTGGGCGCACGACAGATGCCATGGGATGGCTAAAGAGAGGAGGAGGCTCGAGGGCACTGGTGGGCTCCAGAGGAGGGGTTGGCATGAGCAAGCGCGGGACGCAAGACATACCCAGGTTCGGGGTTCTCCGGAGAGATAACACCCATAGTCCTGCCGAGTGTGGTTGATATGCAGTAGTACACGCTTGCTCCTAGAGCTGTATGGAGGAAGAAGGAAGACTGGCCAAGGCTTAGGCTGCTCCTTCTCCCTAGATGTGTTCTACTGATCGGGTGGCTATTTTCCTGTGTGCTTACTGCTCGCCCGTATGCATGAGGGCTCCTGGGGGGTTTTAGGGGGGGGGGTACAATGGTAATGCTACAAGACCGTAGGGCCGGGTCGTTAGCGTCTGGGGACCCAGGGCTGGGACCCGCCGGGTGCCTGTGGTTCGCCGGGTTCCCCTAGGTGCGGGCCTCGCATGCCTAGGGGAATTGTTCGCCTCTTGTCGATCGTCAGGGCGTGGCTGAGTCGAGTCGGGTACAGTGGCGCTCCGTCAGGTCACCGCTTGCTGGCGTCAGTGGTGATGATTGGGGCACTGTTGCCACGCCTGCCATGGTCAGCGGGTAGGTGAAGGGCACTGTTGCCACGCTCCGGCTGACCAGAGGCATGGGCGGGGCACTGCTGCTTTGGTCATCGGTGGATGAAGACTCGTCCCATCATACGGCCTGGATGGGACGGGAGCGGACTCGTGGCTGGGTTGAGGAACACGCTAAGGGTGGAGCTGGCTTGTTGGGGAAGTCTTGGTGTGCCAGGTTCGGCTGTCTTGTGCTGGTTGTCAAGGCCGAGTCGAGGAGCTTGGCCGGGTCGGAGAGTTCGACCGGGTCGAGGGGCTTGGCCGGGTTGAGCGACCCGGCCAAGTGATACGTCTCCAACGTATCTATAATTTTTGATTGTTCCATGCTATTATATTACCCGTTTTGATGTTTATGGGCTTTACTATACACTTTTATATCATTTTTGGGACTAACCTACTAACCAGAGGCCCAGCCCATATTGCTGTTTTTTTGCCTATTTCAGAGTTTCAAAGGAAAGGAATATCAAACGGAGTGCGAACGGAATGAAACCTTCGGGAGCGATCTTTTTGGAACAAACGCAATCCAGGAGACTTGGAGTGGACGTCAAGAAGTAGCTGAGGCGGCCACGAGGGTGCAAGGCACGCCCTAGGGAGGGCGCCCCCTGCCTCATGGGCCCCTCGTGGTTCCCCTGACCGACTTCCTTCGCCTATATATATCTACGTACCACGAAAACATCCAAGAGCACCACGAAAACATATTTCCACCGCCGCAACCTTTTGTACCTGTGATATCCCATCTTGGAGCCTTTTCCGATGCTCCGTCGGAGGGGGAGTCGATCACGGATGACTTCTACATCATCGCCAAGGCCTCTTCGATGAGTTGTGAGTAGTTTACCACAGACCTTCAGGTCCATAGTTATTAGCTAGATGGCTTCTTCTCTCTCTTTGAATCTCAATACAATGTTCTCCTCGATCTTCTTGGAGATCTATTCGATGTAACTCTTTTTGTGGTGTGTTTGTCGAGATCCGATGAATTGTGGGTTTATGATCAAGTTTATCTATGAGAAATATTTGAATCTCCTCTAAATTCTTTTATGTATGATTGGTTATCTTTGCAAGTCTCTTCGAATTATCAGTTTGGTTTGACCTACTAGATTGATCTTTCTTGCAATGGGAGAAGTGCTTAGCTTTGGGTTCAATCTTGCGGTGTCCTTTCCCAGTGACAGCAGGGGCAGCAAGGCACGTATTGTATTGTTGCCATCGAGGATAAAAATATGGGGTTTGTATCATATTGCTTGAGTTTATCCTTCTACATCATGTCATCTTGCTTAATGCGTTACTCTGTTCTCATGAACTTAATACTCTAGATGCATGCTGGATAGCGGTCGATGTGTGGAGTAATAGTAGTAGATGCAGAATCGTTTCGATCTACTTGTCGCGGATGTGATGCCTATATACATGATCATGCCTAGATATTCTCATAACTATGCACTTTCCTATCAATTGCTTGACAGTAATTTGTTCGCCCACCGTAATACTTATGCTATCTTGAGATAAGCCACTAGTGAAACCTATGGCTCCCGGGTCTATTTTCCATCATATAAGTTTCCGATCTACTTTATTTTGCAATCTTTACTTTTCAATCTATATCATAAAAATACCAAAAATATTTATCTTGTCTTATTATCTCTATCAGATCTCACTTTCGCAAGTGGCCGTGAAGGGATTGACAACCCTTTATCGCGTTGGTTGCGAGGTTCTTATTTGTTTGTGTAGGTACGAGGGACTTGCGTGGAGCCTCCTACTGGATTGATACCTTGGTTCTCAAAAACTGAGGGAAATACTTACGCTACTTTGCTGCATCACCCTTTCCTCTTCAAGGGAAAAACCGACGCATGCTCAAGAGGTAGCAAGAAGGATTTCTGGCGCCATTGCCGGGGGGGGGGGTCTTCGTTCAAGTCAAGACATACCAAGTACCCATCACAAACTCATCTTCCTCGCATTACATTATTTGCCATTTGCCTCTCGTTTTCCTCTCCCCCACTTCACCCTTGCCGTTTTATTCGCCCTCTTTTTTCCGTTCACCTCTTTTTCGCTTGTCTCTTGTGTGCTTGTGTGTTGGATTGCTTGTCACGATGACTCAAGATAATACTAAATTGTGTGACTTTTCCAATACCAATAATAATGATTTCCTTAGCACTCGATTGCTTCTCTTAATGGTTTTGAATCTTGTGAAATCAATGCTGCTTTGTTGAATCTTGTTATGAAAGATCAATTCTCCAGCCTTCCTAGTGAAGATGCCGCTACTCATCTAAACAACTTTGTTGATTTGTGTGATATGCAAAAGAATAAAGACATGGATAATGATATTGTTAAATTGTAGTTATTTCCGTTTTCACTTAGAGATCGTGCTAAAACTTA